GCCAAAGCACAACTGGAGTTGCAGCTAGCAAGGGATGTGAAGGGTAACAAGAAGGGTTTCTAAAAGTATGTTAGCAACAAGAGTAGAGTCAGGGAAAGTGTGTCCCCCTTACTGAAATGGGGGAGGGAGTGTCAACCTAGTGACAGAGGAAGCAGATAAAGCTGAAGTACTCAATGCCTTTTTCACCTCAGGCTTCACAACAAGGTCAGCTCCCAGACTACTATACCAGGCAGCACAATTTGGGGACGACGCAAGCAGCTCTCCACGGTGAAAGAACAGATTAGGGACAACTTAGAAAAGTTGGCTGCGTTCAAGTCCACAGGGCAAGACAGGATGCATTGAAGGGTGTTGAGGGACTTGCCAATATGATTGCAGAGCCATGATTTTTGAAAACTCCTGGCCATAATCTTTGAAAACTTGCAGTGTTTGAGAGAGGTCCTGGATGATTAGAAAAGGAAAAATACAGCGCCCATCTTTAAGAAAGAGGAGGAGGATCCAGGGAACTACAGACCGGTAAGCATCACCTCAGTTCCTGGAAAACTCATGGAGCAAGTCCTCAAGGAATTGATTTCTAAACACTTGGAGGAGAAAAAGGGGATTAGCAGTCAGCATGGATTCACTAAGGGCAAGTCATGCCTGGCCAACCTGATTGCTTTCTATGATAAAATGACCGAGTCTGTGAATGCAAGGAGACCGATATGATGCATCTTGACTTTAGCAAGGCTTTTGATACAGTCTCCCACAGCATTCTCACAAGCAAGTAAGGGTTCAATGAACAGATTGTTAAGTGGACAGAAAACTGGCTGTATCATCAGGCTCAGAAGGTAATAGTCGATGGCCAGAAGTCAGGTTGGCAGCTGGTATCAAGTAGAGTGCCCCAGAAGTTGGTCCTGGGGCCAGTTTTGTTCAATATTTTCGTCAACTATCTGCAAGTTTGCAGATGACCCCAAGCAATATATATGCTGGAGGATAGGGCTAGGATTCAGAGAGATCTCAATGAATTGGAGGATTAGACAGAAAGAAGCCTCATGAGGTTTAACAAGGACAAGTGCAAAGTCCTACACTTAGGATGGAAGAATTTCATGCACTAGTACAAGCTGGGGACCAAGTGGCTGGGCAGTAACTCTGCCGAAAATAACTTGCAGGTTAGAGAGGAGAATAAGCTGAATACAAGCCAGTGTGCTCTTGTTGCGAAGGCAGCTAATGGCATACAGGGTGCATTAGTAGGAGCGCTGCCAGAGGATCGAGGGACGTGATTATTCCCCTTTATTTGGCACTGTTGAGGTCACATCTGGTGTCCTATGTCCAGTTTTGGGGCTCCGCACTATAGAAAAGATGTGGACAAATTGAAGGGAGTCCAGTACAGGGAAATGAAAGGGGGTTCAGAAGCATGACTTCTGTGCAGACGCTGAGGGAACTGGGATTATTTAGCCCAGAGAATAGAAGACTGAGGGAGAATTTAATAGCAACCTTCAACTACCTGAAGGGTGGTTCAAAAAAGATGGAGCTAGACTGTTCTCAGGGAAGTTTAGATTAGATATTACAAAGAATTCTCACTAGGAGGCTACATAGCAAAACCTGGGAATAGATTACCCAGAGAGGTTGTGGACTCTCCATCCTTGGAGGTTTTTAAGACCCTGATAGACAAAGTCTTGGCTTGTAAATGATCTAGCTGGGGATGGTCCTGCTTTGAGCAAGGGGTTGGACTAGATGACCTCCTGAGGTCCCTTCCAACCCTAATTTTCTATAATATACACACATCTGCACAGCTCTCACCATATAAAAGGTTGGATGGCAACCCTGAAACAAAGACAATAGAATCCCTTTGTCACCCAGAGCCCCCAGTTTGGACACACACAATGTCATTAATGACCTCCAACCCCTCCTGAAAAAATGATTATCATCTCCAAGCAGCCATGGTGGACAAGTCTGTCCTGGCTTACAGACAGGCTTTCAGCCTCAAACAGCATCTCTCCAGGAACAAACTACTCAACTTTTATTCTAACTAGACCTTGTTTCAGACCCAGATGCCAGCTGTACCCCCTCATCACCACCGACCACATCATCACTGGGCCAAGTAACAGGGATTATAACATCCAAGGTTCATTCACCTGCTCATCCACCAACATCATCTAAGCCAGGGTTAAGCAATTATTTGGGCTGGAGGGCCATTTAATGAGCTTTCATGAACTATTGAGGACTGGAGGGGGGAGGAGAGAAAGGAGAACAAGGGAAGGAAAAGTGCAGCCAATTGATACTATCTGGCCTGCAAAACACTGCTGGGAGCCTGAGGAAGGAGTGCTGTGCCCACGCTGCTCTGCTCTGCCACAACTGCAGCCACGGCTGGACAGGGCAGCATGCAGATTCCTCCACCTCCACCCACCCTCCAGCTTCCTGCTAGCACTTCATAGTTCCAGCACTCCAATAGCTAGGGCAGGGTATGATGCAGTGTACCAAAGCGCTATCCCACTATCCACTGTAATGACCCACTGCCACACCGGTAAAGTCAGGCACATGGACTCACCTCCGAGTGGCACTGCAACACTCATATGCGTTGTATCACACCTCATCACATGCAAGTCTGGCTGCCAGTGGCTGTGGTGCCACAGCTGCACAGCTGCAGTCCCAACTGGAAGCCAGGTGGAGGAGTATGGATGCAGGGGGGTGGAGAGATAGGCAGGGGGTAAAGGAGTCTGTATGCTGCACAGCCATGCCTGGCCCACCCCAGCTGCAGGAGAACAGAGCAGCATGGGATGCAGCCCTCCTCCCTCAGACTTCTGCCAGCAGCTGGAATAGGATCAATTCACAGGCCATATATGGCCTGTGGGCTGTATTTTGCCCACCCCAATTTATGCCATCACATGCTTACAGTGCCCTTCTGCTGTCTACATTGAACAGATGGGACTCTCCATCCTCAGATGATTTCCACGTATAAAGATTTCCACTCTCCATCCTCACAGTTTCCACATGTAATGAATGAATGCAGATACAGTGTCCACACCAAACGGACACACGCAAGCCTATGGCACAACACTTCAACCTCCCTGGACATTACACTGCTGACCTCAGAGTGGCTGCTCTCAGACAACAAAACTTTAAAAAAAACTTGAACATGAAACTACAGAACAGAAAATCATCGATGAACTGGACTGTATTAAGCATGGTCTGAACTAAGACTAAGGATTCTTATCCTATTACCTGGATTAGGTTTTTATAACCCACTGAGGAACACAGGAGTTAACTGCTTTGTTTTTCTACCTCTGCTCAGCTGAGTCCCTTTCTTATTCCTCCCCCCTTCCCTGCCCCCTTGTATTAAAATCCCTGCAGTCCCCTCAGCATCGGAGCAAGTGACACCCTCCTCCCTCCACTTACCAAGGCTTAGGCTGTACCTCTCCCATGTAGCTGGTCTGTAAAAGGGCCAATCTACCCTGCCTCCTACCTGAGCACAGACTACCCTGGCTAAGTACCTCCCTCAGTCACCCCCAGTTATACCTGGCTCTCGTTACACAATAAACTGTGAGCAGAATAAAGCAGAAGGCAGAGTAGAGTTACACCTTATAAATTAACTAAAGTATATATATATCTATAGATATAGAAGTACGTGTGCGCACACGCCCAAAAGCTTGCAAAGAACAATTTTTCCAACAATCAAGTTGGTCTAATAAAAGATACCATGTTTACCCAAAGAACCTTATCTATTTGTACACACACACACATATATACACTGCATAAGTTTCAGGTATATAAAGCTATATGCTTAGACACACACACGTCCCCAGGCACACACACACCTCCGCACTTATGTCCATCCACCCATACATCCCCTCCCCCACACACGTACACATACACGCGCCCCCTCACTCCAACGTGTGCCCACACACGCACACCCCTGCACGCTTCGACAGCTTGAA